TTTGATATCATAATGAAATATTATCAGTTAGGTACTATTGGGGAAATAAAATGCTAATATGTTTAATCGCCTTGGATAAAGAAGGAGATTATAAACAAGATTAAATGTTTTATTGTATGAATAACAAAATCTCGGTTATCAGTTACCTAAGTGTTTCACTAATTTCAGTCTGATATATCCTTTTACAGAGGTGATCCTATTTAACTGCCGACTTCCAAAAAGGAGACGGTACTCAATCCGACTGTATGTTTTTTTTGTGTGTTACCTCATAACTTTTTACTGTGTGAACCGATTTCGATGATTATTTTTTTTATTTGAAAGCTGCTAATTCAACTTCTCGTGTGGTCCCATTTATGAATTTGATCAAGGTCAGACCAATAGTTTTTAATTTATTCTTAATAACTTATATTGAAGTCGTCTGTACAAAATTTTTTTCAACCGAATCCGAAAAAAGTAAAATCGGTTAAATTTTTTTTATAAAGTACGTAATCATTTTTCATTTACAATATAACAACGATGAATCGACTACCGATTCAGGAAAAAGATTCTCTAGTAGCAGCCTCGTACCGGTAAGTAGGGCGGCATCCCACTAGATGGAGTGACGACTTGGCAAGATGGCAAGGGAGGTAGGGACCGGTGCTTTGTACCGTTCCTTGGAGGGGAGTTCTATGTTCAATAGTGGATTTATGATGGGCTAATAATCATGATGATGATGATGATGGTATTCACAAAATTGCTAGATAAAATTACTGAAGTTTTTTTTTTCATTTTCACCTTAGAGATTTCACTTTTTTGATGGTCTATAAAAGTAATTTACGATACGCTAAGCAGAACGGCAACACAACAACATTGCCTATTACCACAAAGGTGTTATAATTTTTGTGGGGAAAAAAAATCATACAGTGCCATCTACAGTTAAAAGATGTTATTAATTCTATAAAACCAATGCGATATTATTTTGGTTAGGTTCATTTGATACATTTTAATAAAACATCACCGTTACACTTAATGTCGTGCAGAGGTGCTACATAAGAAACCTTCATCCCATTTTATTTTATGGTTGTCGCAAAAACTTTTGGAAAAGCCTTGTTTCTTCTTCTTGCAGTATTTGATAGATGGCGTTTAACCATCTTCTATTTTATACCATTAGTAAAATAGACTACTCAACAACAGAAAACAGCATCAGAAGTACGAGCTGGTGTAACAATTTCCATTTTTCTCTCAAAAACTTTTCTAAAATTTCTCGAAAACTTTCACTTCAAAATAATAACTTCACCATACATAAATCATTTTATTACATAGCGCCATCTAGCGATGAGCAATGTATTATGTACGACATCGTCCGCGTTTAATAGGTACAATAATTTTTTTAAATTTAATTTTTCATTGATGGAACACAAAAAAGTGAGAATGCACATAGCATAGTTGTCAAGGCTATTTTTTTTATAGAATGAGGGTGACAATCGAGCATACAGTCCATTCCTGATGGTAAGTAGATGCTGTGGACATAGACCATTAGACATCTCATTTATATGCAAATGCGTTGTCACCTCTGAGGCAATTATATTTTTACAGAGGTCTGTGCCTCTGAGGATTAAGATGGAATCAGGGAATGCCTCATTTCCAGTAAAAAGGGTCTCCGTCCGTCTTATGTACACTCATCGTACGAAATACAGCATCTTGTCCTTGGTAGAGCCATGCTGCAGATTTATTATAGTTGTAGCACGAAGGGGTGGTCTCGTCCGGGGAAGTTCCAATCTTTCACTGAATACCATCGAATATAGCAGCTTAATTTTTAATATTTAAATTCAAGATTAGAACAGTATCTACTATCTATAGTTATCGTTAAAAAGCCTCTTTATAATCTATTATTTACCTATACCTGTAAATGATTTCGTACTCGAACTCACCATGTTTAGAACCTTTTAAGTCAATTCGAATCGCGGAACAAGATCCAGATCCAGACATAATCGAGCGTTACAGCACCCATGGTGGCACACCTGAATATTTTTATATTTATAATTTTTATTATTTTCAATAAATTAAAAATTTTTACCTTTCTAAATATGAGCACAGAATAAATAATAGGTGTACATATTATTATTAGCAAATATTATGAAGAAGAAGTGTTTGTTGCTTGTTAGTACGAGCGTCATCTAACGGCAGGTAGCTGAAGACCATTCCATTCCATTCTGAAAACTCCGTGCGCTAGCTTCGATCACAGGACGTACTCCTGTGATCGAAGCTAGCGCACGGAATTACCTTGAGGACACGACTTCGATTCTTACGGCGCCACGATTTGAAGGCGGATTAGTATAGATCTCAACGAGATACGCCAAAAGTACGAATAACTTGTTTCGATATCTCGCTTAGTTTCCAAGATATCGATACTCAAAAATTACTTTTTTTACTTAGGAATGTTGACCCAAAGTTACTTCTGCAACGGCTACGGCGCTGCGGGAGGTGCAGCTCCTTCGCACTTGCGTAGCAAATCGCAGGAACCCATGCCACATGAGTAAATATTCCGTTTATTTACTCATGTGCCCATGCTCACCTCCGAAGATCTAGCTTATTGGACCAGCCTCAGTCGCTACGACTCCCACAGGTGCCTGCTATTTGCTACCGCAGGCGGGGGCTGCTTTCCCTCCGCGCCTACGGCATTACAAAAACACTCTAGAGGTATGGCAGACAAGACTACGTGGAGTCGGGTCGGGCTATTTCGGTTTTAGTAATCGATGATTGAGTATCGATATTTCGGAAACTAAACGAAATATCGATGATTGAGTATCGATATTTCTGAAACTAAACGAAATATCAAACATTTTATTCTTACTTTTCGGCGTATCTCGTCGAGATCTATGCGATTCCGCCATCAAATTGTGGCGCCGGAAAAACCGTAGATGCCTCACCTTGAGTTCGAAATTCCAATAAAAATCGGTTGAGTCGTTTCTGTCGGGAGTAGAGTTGTCAGTAATTTTGTTTTGATTGCATAATAAAAAAGACTGATCCATTAAATTTTGTTGTTATTTTATTCAAAGTTGAGACGATTATATGTTATGATAAAAGATTTAAAAACCTGCATTAAATACATTAATGTTTATCATTTTGAAACGAAGACACAAATTCCTGAATAAGTTGAAGTGTCCGGCCTTTCAACCTCATTTCACCCAAAAGTGAACAGGCTGGTCTATTCAGATTTCTAGTTTTAGAACCAGGTAACACTTAGGAGTATAACTGCAGGTCAAATCCCTGTCGCGCGAATTGAACTATAGTGCGCTAACATTTGGAGTCTGTACTAGTGCACTGATTATCAAATTACAACTTTTGTAAATGTTAAGTTTCTATTGTTATAAAGGAGTGAATAAAAAGTTGTTGTTATTATTATAATGTAACGATCGTTTGGTCAAAGTTGTAGCAACGAAAAAATGGTCAGATCTCTGTGTTACCCCTAAAAAAAATTCTATTTGAAGATATTGAGAACGAGTAAGATCAAACATCAAAAATATTAATTTACCTACCCCTCATTGTAATATTCTGTAATTTATATAAAAACATTATACTGGAGACTGTGTAAAGTGCATTGGCATTATCGATAAAAAACAATCGTTGTATCTTTTTGTCGCAATTTGTAACTATATAATTTAGCAGGTAGTTATCTGGGTTCGATGAAGATCACATATTATGTAATATTACAATGTCTGCAATGTAAACGTTTCATCTCGAAAGCCGAATTGTGGGATTGACAGCAAGTCTGCAAATGTTCTACGTACCTAGATGAAGTCGATGATAAAAGTTTCTGTGTATACTTATTAAAAGCTAGTACGTAATATTATGTAAAGATTAGTTGGCCGACCAGACATTGTTCTCCTCTTTCCGCTAGATGGCGTGATGAGTTTCATTTCGATTTACTTCAGACATTATTATAATGTAATTTAGAAAAGTTTTAATAACTTGATCAAGCGCCACCTATTGGGTTCAGATATTGTGTTTTTATACGCTGCTGAATATAAAGTCTATGGTTAGATAAAACCTATAAATAAAAACGCATAAGAGAAATTAAGGCTGCGCTACTGAATACATAATTTTGTAATTTATTATTTTATAATATAAAAATATTTAACTATATCACTTTGGTTATATTCTATTTCTTGGGATATTAATAATTGAGGAAACGTTTTCTGTAAACAATGAACGCAACCAAAACTATTTTTAAGCTGAGTAACAGAGAAACGTCAAATGCAGTGTTACAATACGTAAAATTATCGCTTTGTAAAATGGAATAACTTTGTATTAATATTATAAGAAAATTAATATAAGAATCTAAATACAAGCACAATCTTTTTTGACGGAAGCCATTTTCCTTTTACTGGCAAACTTCAGATGAGGTGCTCCATGTCTCTCGGTTTGATGTGTTTTTGGATGGATTTTTCATCCGTCGGTTGTCTAAGCCTTGTTTCTGATTCAGCAGGGATCATTGCCACTGCATGCAGATGAGGCTGACGTTTGGAGAACTAGTTGATATATTCCCTCTTAAACCTTTGTAATCATTATCGCTGACATTTATAAAAATAAATGGTATTATTGAGATTCGATTTAGGGTAATAAGTATTTTTTGTAATTTTTTAAATTTTATTTTTATTAAACTTAGATAGATTATAACATTTTTATTTCTTCTCAAAAGCATTTGAATTGGACTCTAAGATCTCAAAATGTGGAGATATGGAATTTTGACTACTAATAACCGGAATAACTGCAATAACTTCCATAATATATTTCGTATTTTATGTATGTTTCACTCTTTTGGTTACGTACTCATTTTTACCCCACTACGCTTCTCTTTTGTTAAAAGGTATTTTTTTTATTGTGTGATGAAATTTAATGTAATTTTGAATTTTAGCATGACAACACTGAATTTAGTACCGTACGGAAACTACACGACGCAAGATCGCTTTTACGTTCGCGTTAAGCTAACAAAACTCTTTGAAAATGCATACATCAAAATGGTAGAATCTCTACAAATGTTCTTATTCCTCTTCAAATCTAAATACAGACGAAAATACTCATGGTTCTCGCCGTTCTTGTGTTCAGTCCTCATAGTGTTATTGTTTTGTCATGATGTTCTGACTAGGTGTAGTGAACATAACTGTTTAAATGGTGAGTGTAAGAACGAGACTTGTGAGTGCTTCGAGGGCTGGCAAGGCCCAGAATGTCAGCATTGCGGTGGGAAGATAAAGTAAGTACAAATCGTTACATTTCTTCATTAAATTCATACATACTAGTTCACTGACCTATTTGACAGAAGGCATGCCCATTGCCGATGTAAATTCTGCAAGAAAAGCCGATGAGGGATTATCCAATTACTTTCTTTGGCTTCTCCGCTTCCTCTTGAAATCGTTATTAAAGGTCACGTCAACACATGTACCTTATAGGGCCGTTCTTTTAGATATTCATTTAGATATCATTTTTAAACAATACAAAACATCGCCAACACGAAGAAGAGGACCTACTACTGGTATTGCTAAAATTTAAATAAGCACGAAAGACACTTCAAAGATGTTTCACAACAATAAATTTATAAAAAAAAACTGTATATATAGCACTAACAAAGAATTATCTGTGGAAAGTGTGATTAATTTTCGTGTTCTTTTCTGCATGTTAGGAGATTTTTAGTATGGTCTTTAGAAAAAAAGCTATAATAACATTTTAGTACACATTTAGCCTCCCAGTTTAATATTTTTTACATCTCTCATTTTTTATTTATACTTTTTGTTAACCCCCAAATGAAAACAGAGGGGTGTTATATGTTTGTATTGTGTATATGTGTTTCTGTGTGTCTGTGTGTTTGTCTGTGGCATCATAGCTCCTCAATGTATGAACGAATTTTGATTAAGTTTTTTTTTGTTTGAAAGGTGTCTTAATCGAGTGTTCTTGGCTATGTTTGAAGAAAATCTGTTCAGTTGTTTGAAGATCATCAGTACTTTTGTTTCGGGTGTCATTTAATATGTATTATTTTATGCTAATTATTTCTTGTATTTATTTTATATCTAACATTAACATATCTAGTCACACTAAACAAACCAGAACATAATCTGAGATGGAAATAATTTAAAATTAAAAATTTTGTACACATGACTTCAATATAAATTATTAAGGATAACTCAAAAACTATTGGTCAGACCTTGATCAAATTTATATGGGACCACATGAGAAGCACCAGCTTTCAAATAAAAAAAAAACCATCGAAACTGGTTCACCCAGTAAAAAGTTATGAGGTAACACACATAAAAAAATATACAGTCAAATTGAGTACCGTCTCCTTTTTAGTCGGTAGAAAAACAACCAAAATCTTAATTAAATGGAATGAAGTTGAAATGAATGTTGCAAAATCATAGTTAGGTGAAATATATAGATTTTTAGTAAGTATTCAAGTTGCGAGTGAAATATTTTTTAAAGTATTAATAAAAAGTAAAAGCCAATTTCAAAGAACTAACAGTTTCAAGAACTTGAGTGGGCTATGGAATATCACAATCTAATGTTCAAATACTCAAACCCTACTCAATTTAAAATACCGTTAAGTGTTGTGCTGTCTCTATCACTAAGTTAGTGACTGTGTCACCATGAGACTACGACATCTTAAAATTGAGTAGTGTTTGATTATTTGACTATGAAAGTCATATAAAAAGATACATTAAAAACTTTATTCCCTATTTTGACACTCTTAGGGTTGGAATTTCTCCTTCTAATTTATATGGGACCACCCTTTAAGTATAACCTAATTAATAAAAGAGAATCATCAAAATTGGTTCACAGTTGACGAAGATATTGCATTACATACATACAGTTGTATTGTGAACATCTTTCTTTTTTTGAAGTCTGAGTAAAACAGATGTGAGAGATATGGATAGTGGATGTTTTAACAACCTTACAGGTTTAGTACATTAAATACCAACACTATTTAGTAAATATGTAACTTTTATTAGTAGCCAAGTAATCGCAGTATAATAGAATGCATTACACCATATCTTTTATATATTAATTTATTTCACTTTATATACACAGTAATAAATATAGACTGAATAATGCCTGAGGCTTTCTTTATTAGTCTACCTAAGAAAAATGCAGAGATAAAAGAGGTTTCCAGGAAATAATTTATACTACCTAGTAATATGTTCAATAGTAAACATTTGGTAGACTGTAATGAATAATAAATGATTGAATGATATACAGACTTGACGACTTCCAGCCTCCCGAACAAGCCGGTTTCCGAAAAGGCTTTAGCACCATAGACCACATACATACCCTTCGGCAAGTTGTACAGAAGTCCGAAGAGTACAATTTGCCACTATGTCTGGCGTATGTGGACTATGAGAAAGCCTTTGATTCCGTCGAAATTTGGGCGGTGCTGCAGTCCCTTCAGCGGTGCCAAGTTGACTGTCGGTATATCAAAGTGTTGAAGTGCTTGTACAGTAGGGCTACGATGGCTATCCGAGTACAGAACCAGAGTACGAAACCTATCCAATTGCAGAGAGGTGTAAGACAGGGTGACGTCATATCCCCGAAACTCTTCACCGCTGCATTGGAAGACGTTTTCAAGCTTCTGGACTGGAAAGGATACGGTATCAACATCAATGGCGAGTACATCACTCACCTTCGATTTGCCGACGATATAGTCCTTATGGCAGAATCGCTGGAGGACCTAAGCACTATGCTCAATGACCTCAATAGTGTTTCCCAACGGACAGGTCTTAAGATGAACATGGACAAAACTAAGATCATGTTTAATGTCCATGTCACACCTATGCCGATAGTTGTTGGGAACACTAAGCTCGAAGTTGTTGACGAGTATGTTTACCTGGGACAAATAGTCCGACTAGGTAAGTCCAACTTCGACCGAGAGGTCAATCGACGGATTCAACTCGGCTGGGCAGCGTTCGGGAAGCTACGACACATCTTCTCGTCAGACATACCTCAAAACCTTAAAACGAAATTGTACAACCAGTGCGTGTTGCCAGTGATGACTTACGGAACTGAGACGTGGTCCTTCACTGCTGGCCGTATGAGGAAGCTCAAGGTCGCTCAGCGAGCTATGGAGAGGGCTATGCTCGGAGTTTCTCTGCGTGATAAACTTAGGAATGAGGATATCCGCAGTAGAACCAGAGTGACCGACATAGCCCAACGGATTAGTAAGCTGAAGTGGCAGTGGGCCGGCCATATAGCTCGAAGAACCGACAACTGATGGGGAAGAGAGGTTCTCGAGTGGCAGCCTCGTACCGGTAGGCGAAGTGTAGGGCGTCCCCCCACGAGATGGAGTGACGACCTGGTAAGACATGCAGGAAGTCGATGGATGCAGGTGGCTCAGGACCGTGTTTTGTGGCATTCTTTGGGGGAGGCCTATGTTCAGCAGTGGACTTGTGAAGGGCTGTAATGATGATGATGATGATGAATGATATACACTATGTCTATGATTAATTCAGAAATGCCACAACTAATTTTAATGAAATTTTGTAAATGTGTATTGCTTGCTCCAACTTGAGAAATAGGATAGTTTTTATCCCTATAAGTGACTCTTAATATTTTTTATTGTGAATTTAAAGATTTTTTAAAGGACAAAGAGTCATTGGAAAAAGCAGAACAAGTCTGCCTGGCCAACTATTAAGCAATATAAATAAAAGGTTATAATATCATATTGTTAATGGAATCAGCATATTGTTATGCTATAATAGCTTAAAGCTGTCTTTAAACTTCAATCATAAATTTCATAGTGCACACGGTACTTTCACTGTACACTCAAACAGTACTTTCACTGAGCCTTGTTTGTGCCTACACTACTTATATAGTTAATCGTGATTTAACTTACAAAGGTCTTAATTGTTCAACGATCAAGGATGTGAAGAAAAATATGTTGTAATCTCCAATGTTTATCTGTGCTTAATTCTCTCACTGACTAGGATATAATTGTTTTAGGATCCTTTCTTCATCAGCCTATAAAAGTCCACTGCTGAACATTGGCCCCTCCCATTGTACATCTGTCCGTTGACTATCCAGTACCAGACATTTATGCCTTTGACACCGAGGCCAGTCTACAGACTGGATATTTTACATCAGACGCTATAAATTTTTCCTATCACCTCATAACCACTTTACATCAGCTAGTTAGTTAGGATTTTACTCTGCCATTTAATGTACTATTATGTATAAGACTTAAATAAATAAATGAATATCCAAGATATAAAATATATTTCGAGGACATAAAGACTATCACCTATAAATAGTCGTGTGCGCCGATGGTAGAAACATTGGCAGCGGGGGCCTGTCTGAAATAATGCGGAGCTGGCGCGATTTTGGTGCAGAGAATTTTAATAAATCTGCTTGCCTTTTAGATTAGTTTTTATTGTAAGAATTAGATACACACAGTCATCATCACAGACAAATAGAATTTTGTCGACCCATTTTGGACTTAAACGGAACATTTTTGCCATCACCGTCAAACCTGCAACAGAAAACACCTGCTTGCTAGGCGTGCTTGTAACAGGTACGGATAAAATAGCCCTCGCTAGTTTGTATAGCAACGGAAATGCTGCTCGTCTATTTTGTCAGTTTGTAATAATGCTGCCATTTTTTAAATTAGTAACATAACAAGATACAAAATATTTCAGGAACTAATTTCTAATAAACTCGTCTTTATCATCAACAAATGAAGCCGCATGTTTTTAAACTAAGTTATTGATAAAAGAACTTGTGTCTTTGTAACCTGCATTTCATGTACTGTAGCAGTTGGCTTGAGTATCTAGTACACTCTCTGGCACTATTTCTTTGACATAGTTGGCTAGAAAATCCACTCTTGTTGTATGAATACTTTCCTGCTCTACTTTAATGGTCTATTTCCTGTAATTTGGTGAATCAACAATCTCTTAAAGCAGCTGCTACTGTATTGTTAGTAATAGGGAATCTATGATTAAGCATTGTCTCTATATTTCTTTTGTTCTGCAACATTATTAACTTTTCCTTATCATTTACAGTTTCACCTGCATCTTTTATTTTAGATCAGCAAACTATGGTGAAGTTTATCAAGCAATTTCTCTTTGTGAATTTCCGTTATTGGTTTAAATTACACTCACTCCTGGTTTGTTGGTTCCCCTTGCATAAAAAACAGATCACAAAAAGTTGTAATTGATGGTTTTGTATCAAATACAGTGAGTCAACTCGAAAGTCCTTCAATGCTCAATATTAGTCCTATTGTGTTTCATTTTGATGTTAAATGATATAGACTACTAAACTTCAGAAAGATCTTAATCGGCTTTATATCTACTGTTTAACAACACACACACACACACACGCACACGCACACGCACGCACGCACGCACGCACGCACGCGCACGCACGCACACACGCACGCACACACACGCACACACACGCACACACACGCACACGCGCACACACACACACACACACACACACACACACACACACACACACACACAAGAAGTTAATTAATAGTCTCAGGTTTAAACTATCCTTTTATAAGTTTTACTTTAAACCGTTTTAGTTTTCTTACTTCTCGAATTTTGCTATGGCAGTACCATTTTTTTATTTACAAAAAATAATCTGAATTAAGAATCCAAGTGTTCAAGCTGTTCACACATCTGAACTTTATTATAAATATAAGTGTGATTTATATAATAATCATATTCAAAGTCATATGTGCATATAAGTGTAAAGCATGTTCCAGGCGGATGTAATCCAGCGTCCCAACAGAGTTTACCTAGGTGAGAGCTTGGTTTCAATTCGTGGATGGTGTTTCGGCTACACAGATCACAACCAAGCGCCAGCACGGTCAATCTTCACTGTGAATTGCGCTCGCGTAGAATTGAGATGTAGAAATGGCTCCTAATTTCTCCAAATTTCAAAAGCTGGACGTTGCTTTAGTAGTTTCATGTGCAACTGAAGATGGAACACAAAGAAAGAAAAGAAAGTGAATGAAGCGCTGGTTAAAGGAACAATTAATACTCAGCCATTCATACTTATTGGATTATGGTATTCATATCTTTTTGGATTGGAAATGTGGATGACATTTGGCATCCGCATATGTGCTCATCTGCTGCCTGTGTCAGCACAAATGTCTTTGGTAAGATGTAATCCGCTGGCTAAACGGACGTAATCCACACGATCCTACTGCAGATGGGAACGCGCGCCCGTCTTCCAAGGACGTTGAAGGTCAAATAAAATTTGGATTACATCTGCCGTCTAGATAGATGGCAACAAGCAAGGTTACCTCTGTTAGGACGCTGGATTACATCCGGCTTCTTCTTCTTCTTCTTTTTCTTCTTTTATGGCAGTTACGATGAATTTGCCAATGACAGCCCAATTACATCCGTCTGGAACATGGTTTACCAAGATTTATAATTATAACTATTAAAGATACTTTCACCATATTAATATCATACATAAAGATCAGTTTATATTGTGTAAACAGTTAAGCATGTTCTAAATAAGAGTTTTCCAGAAACTGTCAGAATATATACTGAGAGAAAATTTTGCAAAGCAATCTTTATGAACATGCCTTAGAGTGTGATATTGTCATGTTATAATAATATTAATTGAATTCATATGAAATATGAATTAAATTAATATTATTATTCTTTGATTAAGGACATCAGTAGGTCACAAATCTCGTTTTTAATAAACATAACTAAAATTTTATGCCATTTGTTTTCCTAAAGGTCACTAGAGAAGTAGTTTTGTTTTGATCCCTGGATGGCCAAGTAGGATGAAGCCAGGTAAAATTCAGCATTCCTTTTTAAGGATATAAAATGAAATGTTGAAAATGTTATCACTGTATTTTAAAGGAAATGCCTCATAAACATAAATAAGTTGGCCTTTTATATGCCCTTGGAAAATTAAAACAGCTTTACACAGTGATTTTGTATTGTTTTGCACTTTTGTATTGATAGCCCTTTTCTAGAATGATCTGAAAAACATGTGTAAACATTATTGGATTTGTGAGTGCAGTACCAATATCAATGCACTAATGGTGATAATTTTGCTACAATAACGAGTCTGTGGGTTTTGGCTTTTGCAGTTTCAAATATACATTTCATTAATCAGTCTCCAAAGCATCATCTGTTAGTTAGCATAGTTAGCAGGGTCAATGCACATAAGTGGTTCTGAAGAAGTTGATAAAATATAGAATAACTACAATTCTACTAATTTCTGACCACTAATGACACAAATTAGTCCAAAGACCCATAATGAATGCAAAGCTCTAGAATAGATTAATTTAGACTAGATTAATTTAGACTAGATTAATTTTTCCGAAAAAGTATGATAGGTATATACAATTCATTCCAAAACATATACAATTGAGAGTCCATGATTCAAGCAGTTAACTCTCAACCAACTCTTTGTTTTATTTTAAATTACGATTATAATAAATACTGAGAGATATCAGTCACAGCATCGGTAAAGCACAAAGGGATATTATTTCCTTTCATTGTCACTGGAGCATTGCCATGGTCTTTTGTTAGACATGTGAAATAAATAATTGAATAGGAATACATTAACATTCAACCTCCATGCTACTTGTGACATGATTCACACAAATTATACAATATCTTTTTAACATTAGGATTAAGATGATACAAACCACAGACATCATTTTAAACTATCTATGATACATAGATATACATAGGAAGATCCATCGTGTAGGTGCTGTAATGGTAACTTAGAGGTAATTTTAGAAAAACTAGCAACTTGTAGCACAATTATGGTAAATCCTTGGTCTAAGTCCGACAGTGAATGTAAATAAAACTACAGGCAAATCAGATTTATTTTATTCACATAATTGTGGATGATGCATAATTAGGCTAATGGCCATTGAAAGTTCTAGGTATATAGAAGCAATCACATTTAGCTAGCACTATTGGTGCTTCTTTATAAAGGTATTCAAGGGCGATATCGCTTTACTATGCAATATATTGTATGTTCAAATGAGATTTTGCTACATTATGTCAGGCCGTAAAACCACTGGAGTATTGAAGTGAACTATGAGTAAGACAGTATAGGCAGTAGCCTGTAAAGTATACAAATGTAATCAATTTGATGCATGCTCTCTTGTAGTATTTATTTTTATAGAATAAGGGTGACAAACGAGCACACAGTCCACCTGATGGCAAGTGGATGCTGTGGCCTATAGACATCTATCCTCTATAAAAAAATCAAAATGCAGATGCGTTGTCATTACTCATTACATCATTACTACAATCCTTCACAAGTCCTCTGCTGAACATAGGCCTCCCCTAAGGAATCCCACAAAGCATGCTGAGCCACCTGCATCTATCATTACAATGGGAGAGAGCCATGTTCAGCAGTGGATTTTAACAGGCTGATGAAGGACTAACTTGATGTTAAAATAACAAGAATTATTCATTTGTAAGCAGTTGAACTGCTCTTCTTACCTTTTGGAACGAAGTTCCTTATTGCACGGTACGAATTTGGCGGATGGGGGCTAGGTGAGAAAAAGTGTACGATTTTTCCTTCACAACTCCTTTTCTATAGTGCGAGCAAGATGGAATAATATCCATCTCCCTCGCACGTTTTCTTATCTTGCCATGAAAGAAATATTATTTTAAATGACGCTTCATTTTAATAGACGCTAGTAATTCATTTATTTGTATTAATAATCAATAATATAATATATCAACAATAATATACTATGAAAGGAAATTTGTTTCAACCAAGTGTTCCACGACTCTCACGCATGTTTTTTTTTTCTAGAACTAGATGCAATGTACCCATTGTTACGTTACGGTTTTAAGGGTAAGAGTGAAATTCAATATAAATGACAGGCTTTAATTTAATCTTAGTTTCTTAGCCCTTTGAGGGCATCATCATTTACATCCATGGCTAACGGTGGCTAGTTATCATCAGGTGGATTTAACTTTTACTGAAATATGAAAAAAAAAAATACAATATATCCTGTAGCTTTGTACCTTTATCATTATATCTTAGCCCTACATCATAACTTTCCAGATTGACTGCACCAACGGGGGTGATTACAGACGGCCCGGGGAACTACAGTGTGAGCACGGCTTGCTCTTGGCTGATATCTCCGCCGAGGCTCGGGCCCACGCCGCCCCCTATACGTGTGAGGTTGGAGAGTTTCGCGACAGAATGTGGATGGGACCATTTGTATGTTTACGACGGAGACAGTGTACGGGCCGAGAGGCTGCTGGCTGTATTCAGGTGGGTTTAAGTACAGATAAGATTCTTATTGTATTTATTTGTTCGTAACTGTCCTATGTTGGACGTGTATCTCGTATTTTTGGAATCGATTTTCGGTGACGGTGACTGCTTGGCTGGCGGATTGATGATTGGAATACATCTAGTACTCACACCATTGAGTGATCCTCGTCGCTGGCCTAGGTATTACGTCTGGTGTATCCGTGTTGGTATACCGTCACCTTTCGGTGGCCCATGAGCTTCGTCTAATCTTTTCCATGCTTGCTTCTTGAGACACACATGCATTACCGTCTTACCCCTTTTGCCTTGCCATGACAGAGGCCCCAAAATATTGAAAAAATGCATATAATATGTACTTTTATTTATAAAACACATTTGCTTGTATTCAATTATATTTTATTGAGTCTCAAGAACAAGATCTCAGGAATCAGGATACTGAGATTATTGTTTTGTTGTTAATGAATAATTTACTGCAGGAATAAAATTGAATCTAGAACTGAGTGTATAGTAGAGAGCTTAGGATATAATGTGTGTCATGGTCATCAAACTACAGTTGTATTAGAATCCTTATAAGTTACTTATCATCATCAATGTTCGTAGTTCACGGCAAGTCATAGGCATTTTTTCAAAACAGTAGGTGACATAATCCCTTTACTATAGCATTTCATAGCGTTATGATTTATTATATTTACGCGAACACTATACACTGAATAAAAAGTTGCAGGTACTTCGGGCTAACTTTGACATCGGGGCGTCAATTTTCATAGCGTTGTTATAATCACTGTTTCGCGTTTAAAACATTAAAAGTTTTCTCATTTCTTAGAAGCTAGATTAGATTTCACATGTCCTCAAAACATTTTAGTTCTCAGTCATGTAAGTTTCCTCATGATGTCTTCCTTGATCGCTAAGCATATGGCGTATAGCATACATAATGTAGCACTTAATATTTCAATTAACAATTCCATTGGTGCTGACAGGGGTCGAATCCAAGTTGCTCGCGTTCTGTGAAATTTACTCCGAGCACTTAGACCATCAGTCTATTAGCTTTGATTTAATTATAGTTTTTGACTTACAGCGGAGTTTTAGAGAATGGCGAGTCGGGGTGGACGCGACAGGTTATAGCGCGGTCTGGGAGCGTGCTGATTCATTTCTTCTCTGACGACGCGTACGCGATGGAGGGGTTCAATGTCACGTACGCTGCGTATTCCTGCCCCTCCAACGAACATCGCACGAATTGCTCCAGTAAGTGTTCAGATTTTTATAGGGCATTGTTTAACCAGTGTCAGTACTAAGTTTAAGGCATGTAAAATTATTGACTATTCTCTTGACAAAAATAAGTGAATTTTTTAATGTGCAGTGAGGTTTTTAGTTTTTTTTCTTTTTAATACCCATGTCTTGTTTTGTAAAAGGCATACTTCTTGAGCCCTGTTTTATAAATACGACAATAGAAATATATAATAACATCACGTTTTTACGTGGTAGAGCCATGCTGCAGCTATATTAATAGTATAGTTGTAGCACGAATGGTAGGCTCGACCGGGGAAGGACCTCGCTCTCACAGAATACCAGCGTAAAATAGCAGCTTAATGCTGCTGTGTTTCGTAAGGTGAGTGTAGAGAACCAGAGACCCTTTTTACTGGAAAAGAGGCATTCCATCTTAGTCTTCACGGCTGACAACGCATCTGCATTTTAATTCGCAAACGAAGATTGATGTGGATATCTATGGGCCACAGCAACCACTTATCAGTGTGACTGTGTCCTCGTTTGTCACCCTTATTCTATTCTCTTAATGTAATTTTTTTATATTCTTTATATAATAGTCACGTTTGTGAAACCGGGCGTTTTGTAAAAGTGCATAGTTTAATGTTATTGTAATCTTTTTTAGACCACGGAGAATGCGAAGACGGCGTTTGTAAGTGTGAGCCGGATTGGGTCGGTGTGGCCTGCGATGAGCTTTTATGTCCAGGTGAGTTTTTTTATTCCCATTATTGAATCCCAACCGATTAACCACGTAGTGGCGGTGTAAGAATATTCACTACTGTATATCGTCCCGTAGGAGTCGTAATGAGGCGATAGAGGTAAATTGAAACAGATAGGCAGCAGCACCTTCCTGATAATAACTTGATATTATAAAAAACTGTGGTTGCCAATCTGCCTGCCAAGCTTGGCAGCTATGGCGAAAACCTCATATAAGGCAATCTATGGGAGAGGTCTAGGTTCAGTGGTGGACTTTTATAGGCTGTAATGAATGGACGGATTATTGTAGCCCATTAGATTGTCACATCATCACATTATTTATCCCTCTTTACGTGGCTCAGGTGTGACTACGAATCTGCATTTTGGTTGTTAATCAAGGATTTATGTATTTGGCTATGCACCTCTGGTCACAATGTCACCTCTATGTCTGTAAAAAAAGATCATCGCATCGACAATTTATCCTGTGAGTATTGTAAGAGATGATAGAGGGACATAAAACAGGAGACGGGCAGCAGCATCTTTTTGACAACAATTCAAATTTCAAAATAATATAAAAAACTGTAATTCGCCTGCTAAGCGTGGTAATTTAGGCAAATCATAAAAAAATATGTATGGTAATATATATGGTAATTTATGGGAGAGGCATATGTTTAGCATGTTACTTTCAGAATAACCATTCTTAGTTCTTAGTTTAAAAAATGCATAAGTAGTTATTACGCGATTCATATACGAATACAAATGATCTGGCCATATATACGTACAGTTGTGGCAGTTAAGTAGGGTGAGCAAAACAGATATTTTTAAAATAATATTTATTTACAAAAGGACTATGGACGAAAAAGTATTAATCTGAATCTAGTCCTTCTCCTTAATCCTTTCAATTTTGCTCATCTCTGCATCATTGTTTGAGTAGACATTGTTGTTTTCATTATCATCACTCCTGCTTTCCTTTATAAAAATTAACCAACTAAGTATTTAAAATGTGTCACCGACTTGTATCACTCATCATCATCATTTCAGCCTTCTGAACATAGGCCTCCCCCAAAGAATGCCACAAAGCACGGTCCTGAGCTACCTGAATCCATCGACTTCCTGCATATCTTACCAGGTCGTCACTCCATCTCGTGGGGGGACGCCCTACACTTTGCCTGCCGGTACGAGGCTGCCACTCGAGAACCTTTTTTCCCCATCGGTTGTCGGTTCTTGGAGCTATATGGCCGGTCCATTGCCACTTCAGCTTACTAATCGGTTGGGCTAAGTTTCATCATGGGGGATTATTTGCTTATATTGCCATAGTTGCCACGCTTGGCGAGCGGGTTGGCAACCGCAGTTTTTTATTGTACTTGTATCACTATTTTAAATTAATTTATAAAAATAGTTATGAGATCTGTAGATTTGGTAATAGTAAGATTCAAAAAAAAATGTTATAAATATGTAAATTAATTTTTTTTTGCAAGTTGTACTTTGTAAGCGACAGTTGATAGTTCGCGGTCATTGGAGGTCATTGGTATTCCTATTTTTATTTGAATCGCATTGTATATTTTCTTTCTAGGTGGGAGGTGTGATGTAGCCTTTGCAACATTTGTATAAAAAGATAGTATTGAGCTTTCTACGTTACGATATTTGATATTCGATATTTCGATATTTTATGGTTGCATATATTATGGTAAAAGCGAAATCGGAGAAGGAATACTCTCTCACAGAATATCAGCCTAAAATAGTAGCTTTATGCTGGTGTAATTCGTATGGCGAATGTAGAAATCCTGAGAATCTTTTTAATGTAAATAAGGCATTCCATCTTGGTCCTCAAGGGTAAGAACGCATCAGTATTTTAATTCTTAATCGAAGTTAGATGTAGATGTCTATGGAATCATTCACTTATCAGGTGGATTGTGTGTTCGTTTCTCACTCCTATTCTAAACCTCTTATTGTCACGTTATGAGTGGACTTGGATGGAATGAACGAATAAATGAGCGCATTAATAAGTGGTACTAAGTTTACAAGTGAAGTTAACTGTGCGGCAGACGAGTGCAACGCGGCGTACGGCGCGGGCGAGTGCACGGCGGCCGGCTGCGAGTGCGTGGGCGGGCGCGCCGGCGCCGCGTGCGAGCGGGACAGCGCGCGCGCCGGCTGGGCGTGGCGCTGGCGCGAGCCGCACGACCAGCGCCCCGCCGCGCCCGCGCCGCCCGCCCCGCCCCCCGCCGCCGCGCACGCGCTGCTCGCGCTGCCGCCCGACTTGCTGCGGATCGGCGGCGAGACCTTCGCGCCCGCGCACTTTCTCTACAGGTGAGTGCGCCCACACCACCACACGACCACATCTTAGTATCACCACATCTTCTCTACGGATGAATACTAGTACAAATATCAGATGGTAGCAACACATCTCAGCAAATCACAAGTCTTCAGGAATTTTGACGAGAACTTGATCGCTGACATTGCTATATTATTTTTTTCTTTCTTATTTGCTGGAACTACTAAGCTTCTTCGAAGAAATTTCATAGCTCGAATAATCATAATATTCCTGCCCACACGCAAAATACACGCTTAGACATGGAGTTACGGAAAATAGCCCATTGTAAAATAAACTAATGGTTTCATATGGATTTCTATACGTAAAAGTGATGCGATTTTATGTATTTAACATCTGCAGCATGTGAACGAACTATTAGTGGAAACGACGAAACTAATGCTCCTATGTTGATATAAACCTCAAGTTATTCTGTTTGTGTATATTTGTCACGAAACTCCTAATGCATGCTCCTATAAAATAAATTTCAGATACAAGACAGCTGAAAACAAATGGTATCCGGTACTCCCATTGGACGAAAGCTCTCCAAATCCAGCTTCCCGCTTCGCACACTCTGCCATTATGTACGGGGACGAGGTCATCGTATACGGAGGAGTGATTACTTCAGATGAACCTGAGAGAGGGTAAGTATTTCCTAGCCTAGTTTATTCAAATTACGGCAATAGTTCCATATCCTAAAAACCGGATTATTATTAATTTATCTGTTCTTGAGTGTCTCATATAACTCATATTGTAAACCTTATTTCAGCTCTATCATTGTCTTAAGTTGTTTTTACAGATACAGCAGTAGTTAGGTGATTTTGGGAATATAAAACTTAGTACTATAGCTACATGACAAATACTGAATCCGAGATGCGCGTGATGATGTAACCTACATGAAAAGCTTTATGAAAGTCCATAGGTCATTGGTTCAGATCCGACTCAAAAGACCTATTAAATATACGAGCACTTGAATGTATATTTTTATATGTTGATTGTGAGTAAACAGGAGTGACTTGATGGAATTTGATAAACTTTGATCTAATGACGTTGAAAAATTGTTACAGAGGCGGTCTCGCTGGACTCGAAGGAAGGGCTGGCGAGGTGACGAATGAACTTTGGAAGGGCAGGATACAAGATAACACCGTTGTGTGGACGAACGCCACGCCAGTAACCTGCTCGCCGCATCGACCTGCGCCATTGAAACACTGCGGTAACTATTTAATTTGACGTTCATCATCATCATTACAGCCTATTAAAAGTCCACTGCTAAACAGGCATAAACTCGCTTGGCAGTTGGGCCTATTTTATTTTGCTCTTTCACATCTTACGGGATGATATGGGGTAGTTAATATTCTTACGTCACCGCTATATAGTTACACTATTATCATAGCAGAGATTAAATAATGTTACTACGTGACTGATACACCTACGCTATTATAGCCTACATAATTTTAATAATAATCCTAGACGTTAGCTGCAAGTAGGAATATACCTTCTGAAAGCGTACCTTGGATTGAGCACGCTTTGCCCACCGCGTGACCTTCGTCTATAGCTGCCTCATCTAGCAAACGCGCTAGGGTTGTACAAAGATAAAATAAATTAAAGACCAATGAAATAATTATTGCATGCCTTAAGCGAAACCGCAAGATATGTTCTACTATCGCCTAAAAATTAAGATTCCAACGTTTTATCGAATAAAATAGTATCTAGCAATCATATTATACATATAAATGATATAAAAAGCACATTGTTACAAAGATAAATGATTGGTGAACTTGTTAATATTTTTTTTAAATCGATTAATTGCTATTTTTAAATAAAAAGGGGGTTTTAGTGGCCATGATCTATTTTTTAATCTCTTCATCTATTGTTTATGCCCAAATTTGGTCATTTTTGAACGCCATCCAATTGCGTTCGAGCTGGCGCGTCACCCGATGGTATGTAGGTGAGATAAACGCCGCCAGGTGGGGCGGCGGTGTGCGGCTTGTGTGGCTCGACGCTTGGGCGAAGGGAGTGCTTCGCTGGCCGCGATGCGGTGAACCCGCGTATCTCGATTATCGCGGCCGAAGTTCACGCGACCGTGTAGGGTCTAGATAGTTAGATTTAGGCGTGTTACTTCGCTACGTGGATATGTGAATTTTGCAATATTTAACTTGTTCGGGTGATGCGGAATTGCGCACGCGCGCGTCGAGTAGATATACGGTCTAGGATTCGAACCGCGCATTTCTTGGTCGAGAGCGTCCACCGGTTGATTGTTTGGAAATCATTATAATTGTGCCGTCGCGTTAAGTGCACTTTTTTGTGTGTTGGTTGGTTTGTTAGTTTACGTGTCAACGAGGCGTATTTTGAATTCTTATCGCGACGTGGTGTTTTGGTGTCGAATGAAGGAACTTAGTTGTGATTAACGCTGAACCGTATGACTCGCGTTAGTTCCCTATTTATAATTTTGTGATAAGTGAATCCGGGACATTGAATGTCGAATTTTGAACTACTGTCCTTACTGTGTCGGGTGTCACGTTTTCGATTCTACGATGAATGTGAAATTAGGCGAGTTTAAGTTAGTTAGTTATGTACAATGAAGCTAATAGACTGAAATAGTGACAATGTACAAAGAAATGGTCCAGCGGTAGAGGCAGCTGGAGCGATGCAGCATTGTGGGGCGGCCTGGAACTCGGCCGCTGCTGGTCGCCTAAGCTGGTCCAGGTCTCTATACTTCTATACTTCACCAGTGGTCAATAAGGATTTTTACGTGGTAGAGCCATGCTGCAGCTATATTAGTAGTATAGTTGTAGCACGAATGGGTCGGCTCGACCGAGGGAAGACCACGCTCTCACAGAATATCAGCGTAACACAGCAGGTTAACACTGCTGTGTTTCGTATGGTGAGTGTAGAGAACCGGAGACCCTTTTTTACTGATAAAGAGGTATTCTATCTTAGTCCTCACGGGTGACAACGCATCTGCATTTTGATTCTTTACTGAGGGTAGATGTGGATGTCTATGAGTCACAGCAACCACTTACTATCAGGTGGACTGTGTGCTCGTTTGTCACCCTATAATATAAAAAAGGAGAGTTCTCATCATTTAAGGGAGTAAAGGAGCGACAGGAGCCTGCCGCAGAGTGATAGATCCTAAAAGGAATAGGGGATTACCTCCTAGTGAAGTACATTTACTTTATTTTTTTCTTTCCAGGAGGTCTAAACTTATCTGGCCACACCGCCGTACTAGCTTACATAGGGCCTACACAGAAACCGGTTATGTTGGTTTTCTTCGGGCATTCGCCGCACTACGGATATATGCACATAGTGCAGGTGAGTTTTCATCTGTGTTGCTTTGTGTGTTACACAACTACTTTCATCTAGCGCCTTTTTAAATACTACTAATGCTAAACATTACTAATATTCCCTTTAACCACTTCGTGTGTATTGAGTGGTGGTACGACACAGTAGTGAAATTGCAGATTCGAACCCACGACCTTTCTATTACACGGTCCGCATCCTGCCATTAGGCTACTGAAGCTTCATAGCACTTTAAAAAAATAATAGTAATAAATTTCTTCCAATTCTAGGAGTACTACATCGAAGAGGGAGCGTGGGCGGGAGCGGTAACTCGAGGATGGCCGGCCCGCGCTGGCTTCGGACACTCGGCAGCCTGGGACACACTGTCGCGGCGAGTGTACGTGCACGCCGGCCTCGTGTCCGAGTCCGAGGCGGCGCAGGTTAGCTACCGTCGCGTGGTTGTGTCAGCAGCTCTGCGTGGGACACACTGTCGCGGCGAGTGTACGTGCACACCGGCCTCGAGTCCGAGTCCGAGGCGGCACATCGTCACTCTCAGCTAAGTGCAGGAAAAGGGTGAAATAAATTGCCGGCGTCTGTCTTTCCGTCTAAATACAGTCTGGGCATTTTAGAGGCAAGTGTGAATAGGCTTTTGTTACGCTAAGATTGTTACGGCCTTCAGCTGCCCCGGCAAAAGTCGACTGGGCTAGGGCCCATAGTAGCCTCCTCGACGAGCAGCCGAGGGTTTGGGCCCAATGGCCTATGGATTATTATTAATGGCTGCTAAGCAAACAAAAACTTACCGAGTTCCGGAGGTGGTGTTGACCACAGCGACGTCAGGTGGTAAGTAATGTCTATGTAAGTAGTGTGTAAAAGTGTGGAGATGTAACCTGACGTCACCGATATGATCCGAGAGCAGATCCACAGGCGCTGTTTTCCTCCAAAAGTGCGATCCCTCCAATGGGCGTTCACCAATTGAAACTTTCTGCTTTTATTTTCACTATATTAGTTTATCAATTTTATTGTACATTTAATTAACTTCAAATTCAACTAAATCAACGTTAATCGAAATTAAAACAAGTGACACGCTACACAACTTAAGAACGGTCGGTCAAAGTTCAATGTTCCAGGTTCACTTAGCACAGAATTATAACCGAGCAGAAACGCGATCTCCTCTCGAGTCACAAATTTTAGCGTTCCGCCCGACAAAGCAAAATTCTTATTACGATATTAAAATGCCACCAAAACAAGTCGTAGACGCAAATTAATGGCAATTGAAGTTAAATTAACCACTTAAAACTCAAGGAAAGCCTCTTGTCACGTATACGAACGAAATAAGACAATGCAGAGGAGGCGGTCTCAGCGAGACCCAAATATTCGATAGTAAATTCCGTCTAATCGAGACTGGCGGACGCGCACAATTCTTGACACCGGCCGCGCCCAACTTACTAACGGGCGTAAACAATACTAACTTCGCCCACGCGTCGAGCGACTGAGCGCTTGGCCGAGAGAACCGCCCGAGAGATGGGGCCAGAGCTGACCTTTAAATTCCATCGGGCGAAAACGCCGAAACACGCGTCTTGAATCCAAGTTTTTACAATATTAATTATTTGGCCTAAACAAAGATAGTGCGATTAACCGTCTAGGGCTTCATTATCACTTTCCACCAGGTGGGATTGTGGTCAAGCATTGACTTGTGTCATATTATTTCTTAAGTTTTTTAAAATTTCTAATCAAAATGTGTTTTCCACACTAGAAAGTTCTCCTGTACCATAAATTCACATAGTCGAGCATTCAATTGGTACTGTTATTTTTAAGCTATTCAATAAATTGTAACTTACGGTAAACGTCAAACGTCCATTGAAACGTTAAATTGACTCTCAGTTTTATTATATATCTAAATTAGCAAGCAGACTTAGTTCTGCAGCATATGCTGTAAGAAAGATTAGAAGTCTCACAGATGTTGAGACAACTAGGTTGGTGTATTTTAGTTACTTTCATAGCGTAATGTCTTATGGAATTTTGCTATGGGGTAATGCGACTGATATTGAAGCTATATTTGTTTTGCAAAAGAGAGCCGTACGGGCGATTTATAATCTAAATTGTAAAGAGTCCCTTAGAGAAAAATTTAAAGAAATAAACATATTAACTTTGGCATCGCAATATATTTATGAAAATGTAATGTATGTACATAAAAACATAAATAGCTTTAATAAGAATAAGGATGTTCATACCTTAAACACTAGGAACAAACATAAGCTTGTAATGCCACTTACAAGACTCCACAGAATTAGTAATTCATTTATGGGGCAATGTATACGCTTTTACAACAGAATCCCAGAACATGTTCAAAGTTTGTCAATAAACAAGTTTAAAAGTTTTATTAAAGAAAAACTGTACAAAAAGGGTTATTATAATATCAAGGAATACATGAGTGAAAATAACCCCTGGGAATAAGGTGATCGCCACCATGCTGGTTCTATGAAAATTCATTTAAAATTGTATAATCAAAATTATTGTTAAGTGAAATTATGTTTAAAAAAAAAGTCCCGCTGGGTTTCTTGCTGGTTCTTCCCAGGACAGAGGTATTTTCCGAACCAGTGGTAAATAAAATAATGACTTTCAATAAGTATTATGTAATAATCCATATTGAATAAAAATCATTCTATTCTATTCTATTCTATTTATTTTGGTTTTTAACAAGTTATAAACTATGCTATTAGCTGTATAGTTGTATATTTAGTAGTTGGAATTGGAATGTTTTATTGACTTTTACACTGCAGATTTCAAAATTAAAATTAACTTAAAATTTCACTAAACCTTTTTTTGTCTTTTACAGGCTCCGTCGTCAGCATTATATGAATACGACGTAGAAACCAAAGTATGGAGGCCGCTTCCATCTGCACCGACACCTAGATACTTACATACAGCTACATTCATCACACCTGGTATGTTTTATATCTTTAACTTTAATTAAAAAATATTAAATTCAGCTAATTCTCTTTTCATGCGTTTTCATTCATTCATACAAAAGAGAGAGCCAGGTAGAGAAAGAGAGAGATAGAAATATAAGTAGAGATAGATAGAGATAGAGATAGGTAAATAGAGAGACATAGAGAAAGAGAGAGAGGGAGACCAAGCGAGAGAGAGAGAGAGAGATAGAAAGATAAAGAGAGAGATAGATAGATAAGTGGAGACATATAGATAGATAAATAGAGAGTGATATAGATAAGTAGAGAGAGGTAGGTAGATAAATAGAGAGAAAGGTAGATAGATAAATAGAGAGAGAGGTAGATAGATAAATAGAGAGAGAGGTAGATAGATAAACAGAGAGAGAGGTAGATAGATAAATGAAGAGTGAGAGAGAGATAGACAGATAAAAAATAAATAAGTAGAGAAAAGAGGTAGATAAATAGAGAGAGAAGTAAATACATAAATAGAGAAAGAGAAATAAAACTAATTTTGCGGATTTTATCGCGTATATTAACTTATTTTGTATTCCCGACGTTTCGGGCACTTTACAGCACCCATGGTTACGGGGGGAACTGAGGTGTATGACGTCCCAATGTCATAGTTAACCACGGCTACCTCCAGATTAAAATTATTAATTTTTGTTCCGATCTACGCAGTATGAACTTACACTATCTTGGAGTCTTACAGTTGTATGCTTGGGTTGGGATTTAATTTTATTAATTATGGGATCCCAAGCAGATGGTAGCACCCAGCCATCTTCTCTTTTGAAATTAGGATGTTTTTTTGAATTCAATAGCCTCGCGAATCATCCTTGAAAGGAATCGATGTTCTTTAGCGAGGATTTGTGGTCTATCAAATCTAATGTAGTGATGGGGGCGATCCTGTACGTGTTCACAGACTGCAGACTTCCCGGAGCGTCGATTCTTCACATCAGCTATGTGTTCTTTAACGCGGGTTTTTTATAGATCTATTAGTTTGTCCTATATAAGAGAGATCACATTCACAATCAAGCTTGTACACTCCTGCATCATGCAGAGGGACATTACACTTGACTGATGGTAAAAATTGACTAATCTTCTTCGGCGACTTGAAGTATGTTTTAATGGAAGCACGCTTCAAGATGTAGCCAATCTTGTCAGTGACACCTCTGACATATATAAGTACAGCAGGCACTCGCTCGACTGTGCCGGCTTCACTCGTTCACTGTGACGTAGGCGCGGGACCCGAAGCTTATTGTCGTGCAAAACTTGCTTGACGTGTTGAGAGCTCGGCGGCCAAGTCTTTACTGTCACAGATCCCTCGTGCTCTCTGAAACAAAGATTTACCCACGGTTGCTAACTGTGAAGGATGGTGATGAAAATCACCGTTTAAATATCTATCTGTATGGGTTTTTTTTCTATACACAGTGTGGCTCAAGGTGTTATTAATTGTGAAAGTGTCAATTCTACCTTTAGATAAAGTAACTGCATTTTTAGACCATCTTAACTCCATAAATTCTAAAATTCAGTTCACAATGTAGTTAGAGGCAAACAATTCTTTAGCTTTTCTAGATGTGTTAGTAATTCGGAGTCCTGATAACATATACATAAATAGGGAGAGAGCGGAGGAGATTATACATACACATACACTCACATGCATTCTCGTTCGCTAGCTGATTAAATTTAAAATTCGATAAAAAAGTGAATTGTAAGTTTGTGTCTATAAAATTTGTATTATTGTTGGTTGTAGGTATTATGCTGGTTTTTGGCGGTAACGCGCACAACGATAGCGCCGCGGCCGTCGTGACCAACCCTGCCGCTTCAAAGTGCTACTCGGGCGGCGCCTTGTTGTACGACGTCAGGTAATTATTTGGAAGCTTTATTGATCGTGGTTTGGCTGTGTGATACAAAATGGAAGGATTTTTGTTTTCGTTGCATCTTATGCCACAAAGTAATTATTTTTCTATTTTGTTATCTTTCTACTATTTTTTGACTTTATTAGTGGACTAAGAAATATAACAAGCAAGATAAAAACTACATTGAAAATGTCATCCGATATCAATAAAAAATTATATTTATAAACAAAGGAAAATGAAAAATATCAAATTGATACGTGACCGTTCCTAATTAGTGTTAAAATAATCATTATAATCGGTTTATCATCTCCTTCATTGAATTCGGCTAAAGATCTCGTAAGATGAAATGAAATGAAATCATTTTAGGTGTCGTTTGTGTTTGTAGATATAGATGTTGTGTACGTCTATAATAGGTATGCATAGAAGAATGTGTCAATAATTTATAAGGCTTTTGATTATATACTTCCTTATCTATACATATAAACAAAACTGAATTTTCTATATGTAATATTGTAATATCTGTCTTTTTATTAGCTTATTAGCTAAGGGGATCATTTGAATGCTATTAAGACATATACAACCATTATTAAAAAAAATCTGTCTGTCTGTTCGGGGTAATCTTCTGAATGACTAAACTGACTGTGATGAAAATTTTCGAACATATAGAGTAATGCTAAGAGGAATTTTGTATGAGATTTGAACGATCGTTTTAGTATGGATCGTAAATCTTTTGTTTGTTGAAAATACTTTTAAGGCTTGCACAAAAAGAAAAATGTTAGGAAAGCTTACTTAGGTCTAGTACTTACCTCGGCCTTTGACCTTATTTTGAGAGCTGGCGATGAATATGTGGAAGGTCCTTTTGGCAAGTTGAAATTGTGGAAAAATATAATTTCGTCAATTGGACGTAATTATATAAAAACATTCCAACCTACAATAAGTTGAAACTGAGATAAATGCAATTTTGTGTTTTAACTAGGATAATTGAATACTGTAGGTTTTATTTAAGTATTTTATTAATATTGTCTTATCATGTAGTATTTTATCGAATATAGTTATCAAAACATAGGAATTTTGTAAAAATTGTATTGGAACGTTTTGAAAAATTAATTTCTGTATGAAGTAGCATTCAATCAAAAAACACCGTGTAGGTGGCGGGTAAGAATACTCACTACCCCATATCTTTCCGTGGGTGTCGTAAGAGGCGACAGAGGGAAACTGAGGCAGTGGATGGGCAGCAGCATCTGTCTGATAACAGCAAAACAACAATAAAAGAACTGCGGTTGCCAACCCGCTTGCCAAGCGCGGCAACTATGGCAATATACCCCCCATGATAGTAGCGAAGGGACGGCCCCCAGTCCCCGGCGGCCCCGCTACCATGGTAACGTGGGGCAGGGGGTGCTAAGAATCTCCGGTGGAGGTTCGGTTGCCACCTACGACGACTCGACCTGGCAACTTATAATGCACTCACCCTGAGGACTGACGAGAAGATCCTGGAGCTGGAAGAAGAGATAGACAAGTTGCGCTGGAATATCATAGGATTATCCGAGGTCCGAAGAGAGAAGGAAGACACGGTAATCCTCGAATCCGGCAACTTGTTCTATCACCGAGAGGGCGACCATCTGTCCCAAGGAGGTGTCGGATTTATGGTTCACAAGTCTCGTTAACAACGTTGTGAAGATTGGGAGTGTGTCGACGAGGGTTGCGTACCTTATACTCAGAATGACCAAACGGTATTCGCTGAAGGTCATACAGGTTTACGCACCAATCTCGGCACACCCCGATGATGCCGGAACTATTTTTTTTTATAGGAAAGGGGGCAAACGAGCAAGCGGCTCACCTGATGGTAAGTGAATACCGCCGCCCATGAACAACCGCAACACCAGGGGAATCAGAAGAATAGCAGATGCGTTGCCGGACTTTTAAAAAGGAGTAGGCTCTTTTCTTGAAGGTCCCTAAGTCGTATCGGTCCAGAAAAATGGCTGACGGTTATCGATTCCACAAGGAAGTTGTGCGAGGAAGAAAACATTTTCTAAATCGCATAGTGGTGGACCGCCAATCATCCAGATGGTGTGGATGGTATCGGGAGTTCTGCCGCGGTGTGCGTTCGTGAAATTTGGTGGCTCGGATTAATCTGAAGAATTCCTCAGAGCACTTCCCGTGGTAAATGCGAAAGAAAATGCAAAGGGATGCAACATCTCTTTGCAGTGCCAATGAATCGAGCCGATCGGTAAGGACTCGGTCATCGACGATTCGAGCCGCTCGGCGCTGGATGCGGTCAAGTGGAAGGAACTGGCACTGGGGAGCCCCTGCCCAGAGATGGGAACAGTATTCCAAGTGAGGCCGAACCTGCGCCTTGTAAAGTTGCAGGCGGTGTGCCGGCATGAAATACTGACCTCCTCTGCTGAGCACGCCAAGCTTTTTAGAGGCCAATTTGGCCTTCTCTTCAAGTAACCACGAAACTCTACGTCACTCGACATATCGACGCCGAGGATTCCGATACTGGCTGAGGCAACAAGGAGAGTGCCTTGAAACTGAGGAGATACGACAAAGGGGTTCTTTTTAGCGGTAAACGCGCAAACTTGTGTCTTCTGAGGATTAAACTGGACTAGATTTATTCGCCCTCAATCCGAGACTTTGTTCAGCAAAGACTCGATTTCAGACACAAGTTTGTTCCGGTACTCGGCGACGTTTTCCCGAGAAATATTCGCACGGCCGGTGTATAAAGCATCACCAGTGTTGTCATCCGCATAGCAATGAATGTTACCAGTTTGAAACATATAATTGATATGCAGAAGAAACAGCGTTGGTGATAGCACACACCCTTGTGGAACACCAGCATTAATAGGCTTGTAGTCGGAGCATGCACCGTCTACAACAACCTTGATGCTCCGATCTGCAAGGAAGCTGGTGATCCAATTGCACAATTTCTCGGAAAGCCCATAGGAAGGGAGGTCCGAAAGAAGCGCTTTGTACTAAACCCGATCGAAGGCCTTCGCAATGTCCAAACTAACGGCAAACACCTCCCCCTTGGACTCCACTGCCTCCGCCCATCTATGAGCCAGGTAGACCAGAAGTTCACCAGCTGATTGACCTCGACGAAAAACGTATTGGCGGTCACTAATCAGCTGGTGATCCTCAAGGTACCGCATGAGCTGGCAGTTAATAATGGATTCCATTATTTTGGAGAACAAGGAGGAGATGGCGATAGGCCTGTAGTTGGACGGGTCAGAGCGGTCGCCTTTTTTAGGGACCGGGTGGACAAAAGCTGTCTTCCATGATTACGGGACTACGCCTAGGGAGCGAGTACCGGAAAAGACGCGTTAGAAGCGGTGCCAACTCCGGAGCACACGTCCTCAGCACAATTGGGGGGATTCCGTCAGGCCCACTCGACTTGTGGTCCAGGGAGAGGAGTGCTCTGCGAACCGAGCGCTGTGAGAACCGCACATCCGGCATGGAGCACTCACATCGTGGGATGGTCGGCGGTGTGTTTCCCCCGTCATAAAGAGTCGAGTTGGACGCAAAAAGGGAGCCTAAAAGGTCGGCTTTCTCTTTTGCGGCGTGGGCCAGTGAGTCGTCCTCCCAGAGATGGCTGTGCAGAGATGGTAGTGATGGCTTACAGAAATTCCCTTGGACAGCCTTGGCGAGAGACCAGAATGCACGGGTTCCCTACTACGGGTGAACTAGTTTCTATAATTTGTATGTAACTATACCGGAAACACACGGTTTCTCAACAACCAATCACAGCGCGAGGACCTTGGGCCTCCATCAGCTGCCGGCATGCCTCGATAAGCTATCTTTCTCGTACTTATGGCTGCGCATTAGAATTTTTTGTCGTATTCATTTGTAAACTTTATTCACGTCTGGAAATTGTTTAAAACGGCTAAATTTGTCTGAAGATTTATAAAAATTACTCAATAAATATGTGATTTAAATTTGAGATTGCCAAAAGTATATCTTTTGGGAATTTAAATAATATATTTTTCGAGAGGTCTGGTAATACTTTATAACCGACGAAAATGTTTGGGTTTATTTTTTTTTGAAATATATTAAACTAAATTAAAAGATAAAAAAGAAATAAAGTTGCCAAAAAACATTTTTTTTGCAAATGTTATTGCTGCAGTAACGAAATAACCGCAAACCAAAGACATTTACGTACGAGGGCGGCACTGAAAATTTCGGGTATCAAGGAAGTGACACAACATTACTATTTAAAAATGTATTTATTGCTTTTCGAAGTATTCTCCGCGAAATTTGACACATTTTTCCATACGATGGAACCAATCATTGAAGCAACCATTCCATTCGGAAGTTGGGGTCTCCAAAATGGCCGTTTTGTAGGCGTCCACAGCTTCTTCAGGTGATGAAAATCTCTGTCCACGCAATTTATTCTTTATTTTAGGGAAAGTATAGAAATCATTAGGGCTTAGGTCGGGGCTGTACGGCGGATGGCCTAATAATTCTATGTTTTTTTGCTCTAAAATCTCTTTTGTTCTGTGTGCGGTGTGAGAACTCGCATTGTCGTGATGGAGGATGATGCGGCGGTTGCAGTTCTCTTTACGGAGCTCAGAAACGACCTGTGGCAAACAAATGCTAGCATACCATTCTGCATTAAACGTTCTTTGTCCGTCAAGAGGAATAGTCGTAACATGGCCGGCTTTGGAGACAAACGTGGCCACCATTTTTTTTGCAACACTCCGTGAACGAACAATTTTTGTTGGCTTTAACTCATTTTCGAACACCCAAACTCGTGACTGGTTTTTTGTTTCGGGTTCGTACGCGTATATCCAGGATTCGTCACCTGATACGATGTTGTATACAGCATTTGAGGATCCTGCGTGGAATCTTTCGAGAGTTCTGAGGCACCATGTAACGCGAGCCGCTTTTTGCTCTTCACAGAGCGAATGCGGTATCCATCGGGAAAACAACTTTTTTACACCTAATTGTTCATGCAAGATTATTTGTATTTGACACATGCCAATGTCTAAAGTTGCATGAATTTCGCGGTA